CTCCATCACACTGACCACAGCTCTATTATCTAGGGCCTGATCCCCTCTTCATCTTTCCCACATACAGTAGTTTCAGTTCTATAGAAGATTTGGATCTGAAATCTGCTCTTGGGAAAACATGGTATTACCTGCATGCAGCCTCCTGACTTCCTTTTTTCCCTGATTTGGGGAAAGGGATATACAGAATTAAACTCTGCACTCTAGGAAGCCTGTGATACAACACTGAACAAATACGGAAACCCTTGTGATCTTCAAAAACTGTAGTAAGTGCTAGGAGTAAAGTACAATCGTTGTCCTGGACGAGTTCAGTAGTCATTTAACAAATATTAAGCACCTGCTAGGTTGCAGACGCTGTTCTAGATCCTGGAGTTAAAGCGAACACGGGCAAGGTTCCTGTTTTGCTGGAATTTACCAGCTGTGGTAAAAGTTCCAATGTTCTATAAACAAAGACACGTGAAGACAGTTTTGTCCCCAGGGGCTAGTATTAAAGCATTCAGGCCAACTCCCAAAGTGAAGCTATCGGTCGAGAGTCTGAATCAACGGTTCTCCATTTAGGCTGGGTTGGTGGTGTCGCACGGCCACGGCGACCTCCAGCGGCCACCTTCAGCCATGCTGCCTGCTCTGGTTCCCCGGGGCCGGGGAGGGAGAAAGGGAGGAGCGAAGAGCGGGGTGAGTCCTGTTCCCACTCCTTACAGACCAGGAGGTCGCAGCTAGCTAGTGGCAACCTGAGATCCAGATTTCATCTCTCACAAGTGAGAGATCTTTACTCAGGACTGACGGCACCATGCAGGTCCCGAAGGACGGCAGGGTCGATTCACCGATGCAAAGTGAGGGTTGGAGGAACCCGTCAAGATGCAGAAGAGAGGAAACCCTTTCGCCTCCAGTCGAAGAAGACCGAGGCAGAGCCTCGAGCCTAGGCCTGCCTCCTCCCTTAGCCCGCGGGGTCTTTTCTCCCTTTCTGGGTTTGGGACGCGATGACCGCAGCGAAACCAAAACTGAAATGGATAAACTGAGGTGCCACCGGGAATCTATTTGAGAACTACACCCAAAGCACGGTCGTTGCCGGAAGTGGCTGTAGGGCCACTACCAGGCCCCGCCTCCAATTGCGCTACCAGCAGGCGACAGCCACCCCCCACTTCCGGCCCCTGGAGCCTAAGCCAGCAGCCCCCCTTTTGCTGCTCTCCCATTGGCTGCCGCAGGGACGCGCTGTGATTTCTCATTGGTCGAGCCTCCTCTCCAGGGCCGCACCTCCTCCTCCCAGGTACTGTCTTGTCTTCCGACACCCGATAGGCTAAAGGCTGGGAGGGCGTCTGCCCTATTTGACCAATGAGCGGAGTGAAGAGTGAGGGCGGCGGCTGCGTGGTGGGGGCAGGGCGGGACTTGGTGTGGCTATTGGCCAGGGCGCGCACAGACCGGAGATACGATTGGTTGGGGTAAGAGGCACCGTGGTGGGGTCGAAGCTGCGCGGCCTCAGCAGCTGGGGGAGACGGAAGTGGTGAGAGCGCGGCCTCGGAGGGTCGGGCGGACGCCGCCTGGGTGAGTCACCGTGCCCCGTGCACTGCCAGTCTGGGAACCGCAACGACTGCGTCTTGCCCCGCCCCGCCCCAGCCCCTCCGCTTTTCATGAGCCCCGCCCTCTGTCATTCGGGGCCCCGCCTCCGAATCTTTAGGCTCCGCCCCTAGAACCTGGACACCTGGGCTCTTCTGCCAGCCTGGCCCGCCCCCCCTCTCCCCCCTCGCCCCGGGGCCAGATCCCCTTGGTCTGGGAGCCCTGGGCATCGCAGGTCTGGTCCTTGTCCTTCCCTTCCTCCCTCCCTCCGTTTCCCTGAGGCTGCGTGCCAGTGGGCGGTGAGGCAGCACCTCTGGCTTGCCGCTTGCTGGCTCCCCCGTGAGGAAGGGTGGGCTGTGATCAGGGAGGCGGGCAACACCACAGATGGAGGCTTTTATCCCCACAGACTTGGCGCAGGGCACTGCTGGACTGCTTCTGAGCTCGGATAGCAGGCATGAAGGAAAGTGTCAGTAAAACCGGGGCCTGGCTCCCTAAGTGGGCCAAGGAGGCCCATCCTGAATTTCTGTTGCTTAGGCCCATTTGACAGGTACTGACTCGGAGGCCTTGGACTGGCCTGATTCTGTCCCTGTTGTGTGTGGCCTCCCACAATCCTGCATCCCACTTGGTGTCAAGTACACTCAGCAGGACCTATCCAACGCCGCTGCCTTCTGCTCACAGGTTGTGGTCCCCTCCCTCTTGTCCTCTGCTCTGGACTCTGCCCCCAGTAAACAGGTCAGGTGGGTGCTACTCCCAGACTTAGAGGCTGGCAGAGCATTCCTGTGGATTCATATCCCTACCAAGGCCTGAAGTAAGTCTTGGTTGTGCAGCCTCTCGTTTCAGAGTTGGAAGTTCCTTTGCTCTCCCAAAAAGAATAGGGTTTGGAGTGTTCTCCTTCGGGTCTCAGAATCAGGACTCTTGAATTTTGCTGAATAATCTTGGATGACACTCATTCCTGCTCCAGAACTTTGTAACTGACTTCATGCCCTGCAGAATCACTTGTTGCTTTTCTCCCCATGTAGCTCGCATTGCCTCTGTCTGGCATGGGGACTTGTGGAGAGGCTGGATTCTCTGTGAGATTCTCTGTTAGAGGTCCGGAGTAGGTGTGTGGCATTTGCTGATTCTAAGGTAATATTAACGGTGCTCTTGAATCCTATGTTTCTCTGTCTTCTTACAGTAAGAAGCAGGCAGCCAGGACCCTCACCACAGTAGAATGGTGAGTACTCTCCCTTTCCTCAGATCGTTGTGTTTTCTGTAATCCTGTCTTTCTCCATGAAGCTGCCCTGCCCCTCCTGGACCTTGAGCTCCAGGCTACTCTGTTCAGCTCCTAAACGGGTTCATCTGAGCTGGAAATAAATTAGGGTTTCTGTAGATTGCAAAACATCAGCCAGTATATGACCCTGGGACAGGGAGCCTGTAGAAGTCTTTTTTTGCACATGCTATATGCCATGCGTTCCCTATACTACCTACCACTGGCACTTTTAGCCTTTTATAATGGCCCTTCTCTTGCTTTTCTTGGGTCCCTGGTGGAAGCTCTCTGTTCTCTTTGTTCTGGCCTGAAAAACCAGGCCTCCTTTATCTCAAGATTCTTGTACTTCCTAGTGGGCCCCTTGGATATTGTGGGTCCTGTATCAGGAGTGACTCCACCAAAACACTGGGGCTTCTCCAGCTCTAAGGTGCTGCTGTCTGTTAAGCTACTGCAGCCAATAGCTGACTGGATATACAGCAGGACAGCAGCCTCAAGATGCCCAGAATATCACTGGGCTGTGCTGGGGATGGGTTAGGGAGGGGGTTGTAATGATCCTGTATACTCTTACACTGACTGTAAGTGCCCTTGTCTCACCTCAAGTTCAGGGAACCCCTTACTTTATCCCTGAGAACTAGGAGAGGAAGCAGTGAGATGAGAAGAGAGTGGAGAATTGTAGGCCCTGGCCCATACCAGGCCCTTGCTCTTTTCAGTTCCTTTAGGTATCTTCTGTACTTAGGGACATGTTAGGGAATTCAGCTGGTGAGAGGACTCTCTCCTTCCCTCCCTAGGCATGTGGGTATGTGGTGTGTGCGGTACTGTTCTGGTATCTTCTTAGAAAGCTTGCTGGTCTTGGTCCCCACCAACTGATAGCCCCTTTCCTTTTTCTTTTCTGTAATACCCTGAATAGACTGTTGGCTTCAGGGTTAGCCTAGTTTAATTTTGAATCCTAGCACCACCACTTAAATAGCTTAGGTAAATGGCATACTTTCTTTTTAAGCCTGATGTCTCACCAGTAAAACAGGATAAGGCTTAATTCTTGGGGAGCTGAAAGGTTTTAGTGAGATAATATTTGGAACATGTATGGCTCATAGTAGATGCTTAATGCAATGTCAGGTTTTCTCCTATTCCTCCCTTGCCCTCAAATCCAAACCAAAGCCCTGGTTTCTGAAAGTAACCAGGCACAGGAAAGTGTGGGATTCTCACCAGCTCCTTCTGTGACTCCTGGTGGCACTTTGAGCCTTTCACTGCTCCCTGTTCCTCGGCCCTCTACCCAACTCCCTCCATTCTCTCGGGTTTCAAGTTTTATTCTGCATGCTTCTGTGGTCTGTAGTTCCAGTCTTCTCTTTCCCAGCCTAAAAAATTCTTTTCCAAGAAAGACTTTCTTACCCAGATGTCAGAGGATGTGAAACAAGGGAGATGTGGAGCTTAAAGAGTAGGGTTGGGCAGGGGTCTTAGAATAAAACACTTAGAGAACTTCCCTTTCAGGAGTGTGGAGTGACTAACTGGCATAGATCAGTGTACGTTCTAAGGGGCAAAAAAAGGGAACGGGATTTAGTGACGTTAGGGGATGGGAGGACACTGATGGACAGGGGTATGGTGGGTGGTGGTTTGGGAAGGAAAGGAAGAAGCCTTGGAACTGGAAAGGTCACTGGGTGGAGGTAGGCGAGCTCCATTTTGAGAATTCAGAACAGGCTTTGAGGGAACTCAAGGTGGGGAGAGCATGGGGATGGAGTGGGAAAAGGGGGGTGTGGGGTGGCTCACCTGGGAATATGGGAAATGAAAAGATGTAGGAGGTCTTGCCTTACCTTTTCACGCTATCTGGGGGCAGTCCCGCACCCCAGACTTCAAAAGCCCCTAGACTTCCCCAGAGGACGCCCTCGCACGCTGCGGAGGGGCTCTAAGGAGGGAGGAGCCTTGGAACTGTGGGCGGGACCGCAAGGTTCCGCCCCATCCCTCCTCTCGCAGCCTGGGTCTCTCCCCTCTCTTACGCGCTCGTGCGGGAGGGCGGAGCCGGGCTCGCTCCATTGTGGAGAGTAGGGGAGAGGCGCGCGGGAGTCCGCGGAGGCCCTGCTACCAGCGCGCTCGCCTCCTGGCCGCCGCGGCTGCCCCTGGCAGGCACCGCAGCCGGGATGCGGCGGGCGCCCGGCACTGGCGGGCAGCGCAGCGGCTCCGGGGACATGTGCGCTGGCCCAGACCGCCCGCGACCATGAGCCTGACCGCCCGCGTCTCCTGCTCTATGCTCAGCTGCTTCGTAAGTGTTGGCCTCGCCTGCGGGGGCCCAGGGGTCCTAATGCATGCTGCACCCCCAGCCCCGCCCAGGTCCAACCCTTGAGATTCCGGATTTTCGCCCATCCCCCTTCCCTAGGCCCCTGGCAGGGGAGCGGGGCGGGGGGGGGGGTGTGGGGGGCGGCGGGTGGTTCCCTTTTCTTTCTTGGACTTGCTTTCATCTTCGAGTGCCGGGGGATGTGGAAGGACGGGGTGGAAATTCTTTGACCCATCTTGGCCCCGGAGCCACTGCCCTTGACTGCAGATCTCCAGGCCCCGCCCTGCAGGGGTACATCCCTTTACCTCCACCTCTCCATCTTGGTCCCACCCGCTGCATCCTTGCATGGGGATGTGGGATGTGGCTGGGATGTTAGGGGGGCAGGTCGGGGAGCACAGAATGTCTGAGCTGTTCCCCTGGCTCCAGTCCCCTCCCCCTTCTACCACTCCAACCCTCACCTGACGCGCCAGTCTTTTCTCCTTGACTGTCCCCCAGACAGCCTCTCTTCTCCATCTTCCCTGCCTCTGCAGGGCTCTGTACCTCTGCATCATTCCCAGTCCTCCCCCACCCCCTTTGGCTTAATGCTCCTTCCCAGCTTCCCCCATCTGTCCTCTCAGATGTTCCCACCCTTCCCCTCTCACCGCCCCCCTCCCCCATCCCTCGTGGGTGGCTGCCAGGCCTCCTCTCTCTCTCCCCTGGCCTTCCTTGGGTCTCCCGGTTTCTCCCAGGTGCGTGGATCCCCTCTTCACCCCTCCCTGGTGGTTGGGAGAGGAGTTACTTCTGCTTGCTGTGGTTATTCCTTAGGAATTCCCCTCTGATCAGGGGGCAGGGCAGGTTGCTTGGCAGGTGGTGGGGGCTCTTTAGCAGTGTGGGCCTAACTGGAAGATAAGCTCAGCTCCAAAAGACATCCTCCTTTTGAAAGCAACCATGAAGGCCCTCTAGAGGCTTGGGACTGAATCCCCCAACCCACTCCTCTTTGTCTCCCTCACCCACCAGATTGACAGGTCGTGGTCTTAGGTGCCTGTTTTCCCTCTCATCTCTAAAACCAGCAACCACACCTGGTTCCTTTTTCTCAGGGCAGCACTTCCCATTCTCACTTCTGTCTTACCCTCACATTAGTCTTTTTCTTAGTTTTCTCTCTTCTTCCGTTTGGGAAATTTTGGTTCTTTTTGGTTCTGCTGCTTTTTGAGGAGTGCAGATTCCCAGGTCCTCTTTGGACCTTACTCTTCCCTTAGGCTTAATAGGCTTGAGTACCCCCCTGTCCCAACCAAGCCAGGCCTCTTTTCTCTCCTCTGGTGACCAGAACCTTTATAAGTGTGTATGGGGTGTACCCCGGTTTGTTGAGGGGAGGGGAGCAGAATGAGACCTAATGGGCCAAATGGAGCCTGGTGACTTAGGGCTGAGGCCTTCCCCACAGGGTGAGGAAGGGCCCCCCAGCCTGGAGTACATCCAAGCCAAGGATCTGTTTCCCCCCAAGGAACTAGTGAAAGAGGAGGAGAATCTGCAGGTAAGGAGGAGTCGGGGGCCCAGGGTGGGTTGAACTCTCTGCCCAATTAAAAACACCTTTTTTTCCCTCCCTTCAAAAAATATCTCCAAGGGAATCTAGTTCTGGGCTTTGGCTTCCTGTTTCCAGGTCTCTGGAGGGAGGGGAATCTGTCTACATGTGCATTGTAGAGCCTTTGGCCCCAGGGAGGGAAAGGCAGCTTTCCTGTACAGCTGTTGCCTGGTGCTGTTACCGTGGAGAGGACTCTTCTGTTCTGCCTTGGCCCAGCTTTTCCAGAGGGAATCCCACAGATCAGGGTTTGGGGAGGGGAATGGAGGGGTGACTCACTTCTGGACTGAGGGTTCCTCTGCCCTTCAACAGGTGCCCTTTACAGTGCTGCAGGGTGAGGGAGTGGAGTTCCTGGGCCGGGCAGCTGATGCCCTCATTGCCATCTCCAACTACCGACTGCATATCAAGTTTAAAGATTCTGTCATCAACGTGAGTTCCTGTCTTGTTCTCCCACAACCACGGTAGAATCCCTGTCTGGTTCAAGGTGGGATTGTTCCAATGCTCTACTTGATCGTGTCTCCAAACAGTTGGGGTTCCCTTCTTTTTCTCACCAACCTTTTATTTTCCTGCCTTGTTCTCCTAGCTATAGGTCTTTCTGCCTGTCTCTTATTCTTCCATCCCCTCTTCTCTCTTTCCTTTTACTCTGTTCCTGGCCCTTCTAAGGGGTGCAGTGGCATTGTTGGAAGAGTGCCACTTACCAACCGTGTGGCCTTGGTCAAGTCACCCTACTCAGGTCAATTTCTTCCCTAATAGTTTGTTGTGAAAACACTTGGCTTGCAGGGTTCTTGTGATTATTAATTAAGGCCCTGTATGTAGAGGACCCAGCACAGTTCCTAGGCACTTAACTGGCCCTCAGTAAATGTGGGTTTCCTTCCTAGTATTGATATATCCGCATCTGGGCTGGGGTGGGCATGAGGAGGGGTGAGAGTGGGGATCTGAGCTTTCGTTTGCCCTTCCTCTGAAGGTCCCCCTCCGGATGATTGACAGTGTAGAGAGCCGTGATATGTTCCAGTTGCACATTGCCTGCAAGGACTCCAAAGTGGTGAGGTGAGAACAATGGGGCTGCACGCAGGTCCTCTGGCCCTAGTCTTGCCCAGGCCTCTCTGATGCAGGGTTTCTCTGCAGCAAGAAAGGAAAAATCCTGCTTCACTTTCCCCATTTGGAAGAAAAGGTAGAAGCCCTGTCTAGGTTGGGAGGTCAGTTTACTGACCCACAGTATCTTGACCTGGAAAAATGGGGATAATGCATAGCTCATGGGGTTGTCATAAGGATTAAATAGGATAATGTATGAGAAAGCACCTAGGGTTAGCATACAGCACTCACTTTATTGTTGGTTCGTTTATTAATTCACTTAACATACATGTATTGAGTACTCTCCTCTATGGCAGACTGTTCTTTTTTTTTTTTTTTTAACGTTTATTTATTTTTGAGACAGAGACAGAACATGAATGGGGGAGGGTCAGAGAGAGAGAGAGAGACACAGAATCTGAAACAGGTTCCAGGCTCCGAGCTGTCAGCACAGAGCCCAATGCGGGGCCTGAACTCACGGACCACGAGATCATGACCTGATCCGAAGTTGGATGCTTAACCCACTGAGCCACCCAGGTGCCCCTATGGCAGGCTGTTCTAAGCACTGGAGATACAGCAGGAACAAAGAGACAAAATTTCCTACCCTCATGGAGCTTATATTCCATCGGAGAGATAGCCAGCAGTAAATAATGAGTAAAATATGTTAAATGATGGTAAATGAAAGGTGAAAAATAAAGCAGGTAAAAGGGATATGGAGTGCTATGGAGGTGAAGGTTGTAGCTTTAAACAATGTGATTACAGAAGGTTGCATTGCAAAGGTGACATTTGAGTCAAGACCTAAAGAGAGTGACCATGTGGATATTTGAGTGAAGAGGGTGCCAGAGAGAGAGCAGCGAGTGCAAAGGCCCTGAGGTGGGTATGTACCTAGCATATTGGAAGAAGAGCAAGGAAGCTAGTGTATAGCTGGAGTGGAGTGCATGTGGGTGAGGGTGGTGGAATGTAAGATCTGAGAGGTAAGGGGGGGGTGTCAGGTTGTCATAATGACTGGCTTTTACTTTGAGGTAAATGAGAAACCACTGCAGGGTTTTGAGCAAAGGAGAGATGTGATCTGATTAAATGTTTTATAGAATTGCTTTGGCCGCTATATTGTGAATAGATGGAAGTGAGTTGGGGGCAAAAGCAAGGGCAGAAGCCGAGGGATTAGTTAAGCTATTGCAGTTAGCCAAGTGACAGAGCATGATGGCCTTGCTAGCGTGGTGGTGTTCAAACTGGTGAGGAATGGTCAGATTTTTGAAGGTAGAGATGACAGAATTTGCTGTCAGATTGGATATGAGAGAAAGAGGAATCTGGAGTGATTCCACGGATTATTAAAAGAATGCTCAGTTTAGAGGCTGTCATGTGCTCAGGTCTGTAGGGATTCAGAAAGAGAATCCACAGTGGCCTTGCCTTCAGGGAGGTTGAGGTCTAGTTGCTGAAGGAAGATTTAACAGTGGCAGTATGCTATGGAAAAACATACTGATTAATACTCTAAGCATATTAAGAATAAAAGAGGAAGGGGTCTTAAAATGAGCTGGGAAGGCTTCAAAAAAGAGTTGTGACCAGAACTATCTTCAAAGTGTCAGTAGGATGTGGCTTGGCCAAGACGAGGTATAATCAAGCAGAAGTAAAGAAACAAGGAGACAGGAATGATGTGAACAGGACTTCCTGCCTGAAGCAGGAGTCATGGGAGATAACGTGGAATAGCAGACATTCAGGGACATGCGGTGGCATTTAGATTTGATATGAGAAATGAAATGGTAGGGCCCCCCACTAGAAGGTACAAGTATGTCTCAAGGACTAGAGTTCTTGGGAAGAGAACTGTCAAAAAGATAAATTCTCTTGGGTATTCACCGGTATCCCTGGTTCTCCTCAGGATCCCCATGCCTTACCTCCTGCTTTAAAGCCTCCTCTCCCCACAGCCTTCTTGTGGCCTTGTTTTTGACCCTTATGGCCCCAGTGCACACCTGCCTCTTATCTCACTCTGTGGCTTCTTGCCTGGCAGGTGCCACTTCTCCACTTTCAAGCAGTGCCAAGAGTGGCTGTCACGGCTAAGCCGGGCCACGGCAAGACCTGCCAAGCCTGAAGACCTCTTTGCCTTTGCCTACCATGCCTGGTGCCTGGGGCTGACTGAGGAGGACCAGCATACTCACCTATGTCAGCCAGGTAAGGCCAGGCTGTTTTCTTTGGAAGATTTCCTGTCTCTTGGTTCTTACCCTCCTCCACCCCTGGCCATGGTTCTGTTGGATGCTGACAGGCGTGGGGGCTGTGTTGCAGGAGAGCACATAAGATGTCGCCAGGAGGCTGAGCTCTCGAGGATGGGCTTTGATTTGCAGAATGTCTGGAGAGTCTCCCACATCAACAGCAACTACAAGTGAGAGGGCAGGGGTGGGGGAACCAAAATACCAATCTAGACCTAGACCTTGCCGGGCACAGCCCCTGGTTCTGTGAGGGGAGGACTCCTGACTCACAAAGCCATCCCTGGGGATCTTGTCATCACATGTCTTAGATCAAGCTTGGTGATCCCATCTGTTCTCTTCACAGATTGTGCCCCAGTTACCCCCAGAAGCTGCTGGTTCCTGTGTGGATCACAGACAAAGAGCTGGAGAACGTGGCTTCCTTCCGCTCCTGGAAGCGGATCCCGGTGGTTGTGTATAGGTGAGGCAGTAGGGGACAGGAAGTAGAGAGGATACTTTTTATGCAATAAGGAAAGAGTCAAAACTGGAGATTTGTCCTAGTTGACCGGGAATTGACACCCTGCAGGGAATGAAATAATTTCAAATCAAAAACTGCCTCAGTTTTTTTCTCCTAAAGATGAGGCTTTTGGAGAGTACATTCACTTTACTCTTTTTTGGAGGGTGTGTGTGTGTGTGTGTGTTTGTGTGTGTGTGTGTGTGTGTGTGTAAAATGTTGCATTAGAACAAGAGTTGGCAAACTGTCGCCTGTGAACCAAATCTAGCCTGCAGCCTGTTTTATGTACAGCCCAGAACTACGAATGATTTTTATATTTTTAAAAAGTTATTTAAAAAAAAACAAAAACCAAGAAAACCAGAAAGGAGAATGTATGACAGAGACTGGCTATGACGTGTGAAGCTGCACATTTATTGTTTGTTTCTGTCTGAAAAAGCTTGCGGGTTCCCTGCAGTAGAACATTATAGCTAACATAGAGCAAGGCATATAATAGCGAGGAGGTTTGGAGTTGTTCTGCTCTGGGCTCAGGCTTGCTTTCCTGCTGGTGTCTGTACCTGGAGCAGGTGCTGTGCAGATTCAAGAAGTCAAGGTCACCCTGGAAACACAGAGCCTATTTGAGAAATGTGTATGACAGCACTTTCTAAACTATAAAGCCCTCTAGATATGTCAAGGGCTCTTGGTGTTTATTATCATGGCCTGGGTGAACTGGTAGCCCCTGTTGGCTCTGGAGATCTTAGTTCTTGGGGCCTTGGTAGTAGGCCTGGGGGGTGGGAGCTGCAACTGGCAAGGGCATGATGGCTTCTTCCATTTTGTCAGACACCTACGCAATGGGGCTGCAATTGCCCGCTGCAGCCAGCCTGAGATCAGCTGGTGGGGCTGGCGCAATGCTGATGATGAGTATCTGGTCACGTCCATCGCTAAAGCTTGTGCTCTGGACCCGGGGACAAGGGCCACTGGGGGCTCCCTCAGCACTGGGAATAGTGATGCCAGCGAGGCATGTGACACTGACTTCGGTAAGGTGTGGGTGGTGCTTACACCCTGGGGAGCAGGTCCCCTCCTTGGTCTCATTGGCTTTCAGGGAGTCCCCAGTGAGAGGATGGGAAGAAGATGACAACACACAGGGTGCCAGGGTCCCTGCCCTTTGGGAAGCTGTGGGGTGGCAGGGGACTATAGTTGTATGTTCTCCTCTGAAAGGGAGTGTCCCAGGGTAGGGTGAGGCTGGGCTGGCTGACCCAGGGTCTGCTCCCTGCCACATGTTTAGATTCTTCCTTGACTGCATGCTCTGGAGTGGAGAGCACAGCGGCCCCCCAGAAACTGCTGATCCTGGATGCTAGATCCTACACGGCGGCTGTGGCCAACCGGGCCAAGGGTGGAGGCTGTGAGTGTGAAGGTACTGCTGCTACCCCAGTGTCTGCAGTCAGTCTGTGCTCTGGGTGGCTTTGGTGAGGAGGGACCTGGGGGCAGCTCGTGCAGTGGAAAGAGCCAAACACTTGGCTTGGAATCGGGACTCTGCCACTTAACTAGCTATGACTAAATTGCTTAATCTAAGTTTTATTTTCTTATCTGTCAAATGGGGATGATAATAACAATTATTGGCTAGAGAAGCTACTATATATTGAGAGTTTACTATGTATTGCCATTGCTAGTAGTAATAGGACTATCATTTGTCATTAACATCATTATTACTACCGTTAGTATATGGCTCCTGAGCATCCAGACATAAGTGGTCTGCACTGCCAAGGAAGCCTGGCCCACTTGTCCTGGATGCCTGTTTTCAGGACATGCTCTTATGCTCCACTCTCCTCTGTATGTCTACAGAATACTATCCCAACTGTGAGGTCGTGTTCATGGGAATGGCCAATATCCATGCCATCCGGAACAGCTTCCAGTACCTTCGGGCTGTGTGTAGCCAGATGCCTGATCCCAGCAAGTAGGTGGTCCCTGCCCCAGTTCCATCCTCTCTTGTCTTGTCCTTCACCCAGTTCTAGTTCTTAGGAGGTGAGAGAGGGAACTGGGGAGTATAGAGGTATGGGAGACCTGAGAGCCTGGGTGCAGTGGGCCAGTTCCAAGATCACTTCTTCCGCTTTTTAGCCAACACTTTGGAACAGCCACAGGCCACTGGGCTCCCTTTGTTTGGATCCTCTCCTACTTAAAGAACACAGAGGACTGGGGAAAGAATGGCTAAATGTGCGTGTGATGCTTCCCGTTCTCCCTCGGTCCCTAGTCTCTTGTCTACCTCAGGTCTTGTCTTCCTTCCTTTCCTGCCAGATACCTCCTGGCAGAAAGGCCACAGACTGGACCGCTTGGCTTCAGCCCTCCCTAGGGACTTCATTAGTTGTGGCTGGCCATGGGCGGTGGAAGAGACCGTTGGATCCTCAGCGCCCTTGGTGACAGACTTGATTTCTGCTCTTGCGTAGCTGGTTGTCGGCACTGGAGAGCACCAAATGGCTACAGCACTTGTCGGTGATGCTAAAGGCAGCTGTGCTTGTGGCTAATACTGTAGACCGGGAAGGCCGGCCTGTGTTGGTGCACTGCTCAGATGGCTGGGACCGGACACCGCAGATTGTAGCCCTGGCCAAAATACTACTGGACCCATATTATAGGACGTTGGAGGTATTGAGTGGGGTTGGGTGGGAAAGAACAGAGGGAAAGGGGGGCGGAGAAGGCGTTGGGTCCTCTGGATCTGTCTTGGGGATCTTTCAGTGGAGGCCATGGGTGGCTTTGAGTCGTAGGATTGGTTCTGCTCTTCTCTGAAGCTGCCAGCTCCTTGCTTTGGGCATCCCCTGGGGAGTAGCATACCAGCCTTTCCAGAAAGGACCTGTACTTGGACTCTCTTTTTTGCAGGGCTTCCAAGTTTTAGTAGAGTCTGACTGGCTGGATTTTGGGCACAAGTTTGGAGATCGCTGTGGCCACCAGGAGAATGCAGAGGACCAAAATGAGCAATGCCCTGTGTTCCTCCAGTGGCTTGATTCCGTTCATCAGCTGCTCAAGCAGTTCCCCTGCCTGTTTGAGTTTAATGAAGCATTCCTGGTAAGTTAAAGCCTGTGGCCAGGGTCAGGGAGAAGGTGGCCGAGGCTCCCAGTTGCAAGCTGTCTTGGCCCTCTAGGTAAAGCTGGTGCAGCACACATACTCCTGCCTCTACGGCACGTTCCTGGCCAACAACCCTTGGGAGCGAGAGAAGCGCAACATCTATAAGCGGACCTGCTCTGTGTGGGCTCTCCTGCGAGCTGGCAATAAGAACTTCCATAACTTCCTCTACACACCTGGCTCAGACATGGTAAGTCCAAACCCTTATCCTGTCAGTGCTTCTTCGAGACCTATAAGGAGAACAGGCTGAGTCAGTGGGGAGAACGTAGAGCCAAAAGCTTGGGGAAGGAAGAGGGACCCGGAACAGCTCACAAAACACTAGTATGGTGCTGCTTCCCTAGGTCCTGCATCCTGTGTGTCACGTACGGGCCCTACACCTCTGGACAGCTGTTTATTTGCCAGCGTCGTCTCCATGTACACTTGGGGAAGAGACCATGGATCTTTACCTTTCCCCAGTGGCTCAGAGCCAGGAGTTTTCTGGCCGTTCTCTGGACAGGTAAGAAGATCCTTTCTTGCTCTCTTCTCTCCCCACCAGGAAGGCAATACTGCTTTGTGTCTAGCCTAACGTTCTTCTTCTTTTATGAGATATTTAAAAGCAACTTCTTGATATAGTTGAAGGAGAAACTTGGCCCAGGACTTGCAGCTAGCATGGAGTGTACTCTGTGTGTCTTCAAGGTCCTCTCCTAAGATAAGATTGGTTACCTTCTTTCCTGGAGCTGCTCTCACCCTTTGTGACCTAGCCAAGCAGAGGACAGGAGAATAGAACAGAAAGGACTGTTTCAGGAAGGTTTGTGGGAATGGGCTTGATTTATGTTCACTGATAGAAGGCATTGATGGGGCACTTCCAGAAGCATCTGATTCTCAGGGAAGTGGGTTTCCAGAAGAGGGATGGCCTTCATGTTCTCCCACAGGAAAAGGCCAGAATTTAAAGTTTTTATATTTTTGATTTATTTTCAGAGAGAGAAAGAGGAGAAAAAAAAAAAAGCGTGAGCTGGGGAGGGGCAGAGAGAAGAGAGAGAGAGAGGAGAGAGAGCATCCCAAGCAGGCTCCTTGCCATCAGTGCAGAGCCTAATGCAGGGCTCGATCCCTTCAATTGTGAGATCATGACCTGAGCCAAAAATCAAGAGTTGGATGCTCACCAGGTGAGCCACCTGGCCAAAAAGGCCAGAAGTTAAAGGGAGACATAAAAATTAAAGTTTATCTTCTGGCTGAATATTTGGGGGAAGTACAGTCAATGCTGTTTACGTTATAAGAGTAACACAAGTTCCTATTTTAGAAAAAGTTGAACGATGTAAAAGTAGAAAATGAAAGTCCTCCCTCCCTGATCCTTGTCCCCACAGGCTGGTAACACTTTGCGTGTCTTTCCTGATGTTTATGTTTACATACATGTATCCACGCTTTCATATAGAAACGTTTTTAAAATACAAAAACAGGGGCACCTGGGTGGCTTATTTGGTTGAGCGGCCAACTTCAGCTCAGGTCAGCTCAGGTCATGATCTTGAGGTTTGTGAGTTCGAGTGGGCTCGCTGCTGTCAGCACGGAGCCTGCTTTGGATCCTACTTTGGATCCTCTGTTCCTCCCTCCCTCCCTCTCTCTCTCTCTCTCTTTCTCTCTCTCTCTCTGTCCCTGTCCCTCTGCTGCTCGTGCTCTGTTCCAAAAGTAAATAAACCTTAACAAAATAAAATACAAAAACGGAACCATATTTTGCATACTGATCTGCAAAATGTTTTGCCCGCTTTGTATTAGGCTGTCACCCCTGTAAAGCACATGTAAAGCTGCTGTTTTTTTGCTTTAGCGGCTGCATATGTTAGTCTAAAATTAGAGTGTAGCATTATTTATATAACCAGTTTCCAACTGGTGATCATTCAGGTGATTTTTTTTTTTTTTAACTATTACTGGGAGTGCTTTAAATAACATCCTTAACTATGTGTAAATTTTTTAAAACAGTTGTCAAATACACATAATAATTATCATCTGAACCATTTTTTTTAAATAATTTTTTTAAGTTTATTTATTTTGAGAGAGAGACAGCATGAGCCGGGGAGAGACAGAGAGAGTGCGAGAGAGAGAGAAAGAATCCAAGTAGGCTCCATGCTGTCAGCACCGAGTCCGATGTGGGGCTCAAAATCACAAAACTGTGAGATCACGACCTGAGCTGAATCGAAGATTTGGTTGCTTAACCAACCAACTGAGCCACCCAGGTGCCCCATCAACTGAACCATTTTTAGGTGTACAATTAAGTAATATCACCTTATGTGTGTATCTTGGCATTTGTGCTAGTGTTTTTGCCAGATAAATTTCTAAGCAATGAAAATGCTGGGTTCAGAGGATATGTATGATCTTTGTTTCTTGGTGGAAGATTTTTATTTTTTATTTATTTGTTTATTTATTAAAGTTTATTTATTTATTTAGAGAGAGCACATATGTGAGCAGGGGAGGGGCAGACAGACAGAGGGAGAGAGAGAATCTCAAGCAGGCTCTGTGCTGTCACCATGGAGCCCAATGTGGGACTTGATCTTATAAACTGTGAGATCATGACCTGAGCCAAAATCAAGAGTCTGACACTTAACTGATTGAGCCACCCAGGCACCCCTTGTGGAAGACTTTTAAAGCTAAAATATAGCTTAAATTACTGGTTGAATATTATAAAGGAAAACAAAAAAAAACACGCCCCTATAAATTACTGGTTTTAGGGTCTTGAGTCCATGGTCAGCTGCCCAGGGATAGGCTTCAAGAATTCTGTGATTTTCCTCTTTCCCCAAACTATGCAGAATTTGAGTATACTCAAATTTATAAGTTTACTTTGCCAGGGAGAGGGCTCAGAACTTTTTATCAAATTCTCAGTAAGTTCTGTGACTTGTGTAAAAATCACGGTCTTAAATTAATATCTAATTTTTCAATTCAATCAGTGTTTTTTTTTTAAACCTACTAGTTGTCTAATACTAGGTTTATGGGCCAAAGAAATACAAGATATTGATTCTATTTAAGATATCCTTTAAAAGCTGTAATAAGGTAGACCTAGGAGAACTACTACTAGAGAACATTTCTAAGTCAGCATCCAAGCAAGTAAGAATGTGTATAGTTCAAAGCTATTAGAGAAATGAGAAGTCAGAAAGGGGTCATTTGGTGACTGTTTACTCAGAGAAGTTTTAATGGAAGACCAAGCAGGAAACCTTGGCTTTTTTGTCTAGCATCTGGTGCAGGGCCTGGCACATAATAGGTGCTTTAGTAAATGCTTAAATGAACAAACAAATGAATGGAATACCTGGTAATAAGTAGTGGAGAGGGGTCCAAAGGAATTGGATACATGAGAGTTAGTTGTTTTGTTTAAAAAAAATTTTTTTTTAATGTTTGTTTATTTTTGAGAGAAAGAGAGACAACGTGAGCAGGGGAGGGGCAGAGAGAGACACACACAGAATCTGAAGCAGGCGCCAGTCTCTGAGCTGTCAACACAGATCCTAACATGGGGCTCAAACCCATGAACTATGAGATCATGATCTGGGTCAAAGTTGATGCTTAACCAACTGAGCCACCCATGCACCTCTACATGAGAGATAGTTCAAAGAAAAAAAGAGGAACCTCTTTGGAACTGGCAGGGGTTAGGAAGGGGCCATTCTGAGGAATAGAAAGAAAGAAATATGGGATAGTTCATTGAGGGCTTTAAACATTTCCCTGAGGAGTTTGAGTCAGTTGTCAATAGGAAGTCATTGTAGGAAGTCATTGTGACCTGGTGACCATGGGATTTTTGGAGAATGAACCCCTGAGCTGGGTAGTTGGGGACACAGAGAACAGCCAACACTATTGTAATTCAGATATGAGGGGAAGAGTCCTTGGAAAAGGAAAGGATTAAAATCCTTGAAGAGGAGTCATTAGCAGATTATGGAGTGACTGAGTGTGGGAGTGTGGAAGTGAAGAGGACTCGTCAAAGGTCATGACTCTCCGAGCCTAGAAACTAGATGGATATTAGTACTAACCTAAAGACATTGGGAAGTTGAGAAGACGAGTCAGTTTGGGGAAGAGGAGATACAGGCAGGTTGGGATTGAAATATTAGCAAAGAGAAGGTGTGCTATAGGCAGTTCAAGATGGAGAGTTGGATTTGGAGGACTAAGTAGCATGCAAATTAAAAAAAAAAAAATGCTTTCTTTAACAGCTGGCCTGACTTGGTTCTACCTTTCTCTAGATCAAAAATATCCTGCCCTATTTTCTCTTTTTCCATTAAAGTACAAGACATTCTGCTATACCCAGCTCAAATCCTACCTTCTCTACGTAGCTTTCTTTGACCACCCTCGTTGGATGAGTTGTCTCTGTTCAAACTCCTCAGGCATTATTGTCTCTACCAGCATTATTGATTAAACCTTCTGTGTAGGTAGTAATTGGCTGTTGAGGATTTCAGACTGTTGATACTGTTGAATTTGGGTCAAGAATACATGGGAGGTCTTCATACTCTTCTACTTCTTTTGTATGTTTGAAAGTTTCCATGATAAAAAAGTAAAACAAAATAAAGGGGGGAGAGAAACCAAAGTTAGCTGTGGTACTTTTTATTTTTTTTATTATTATTTTTTTTTTTTAATTTTTTTTTTTCAAACGTTTATTTATTTTTGGGACAGAGAGAGACAGAGCATGAATGGGGGAGGGGCAGAGAGAGAGGGAGACACAGAATCGGAAACAGGCTCCAAGCTCTGAGCCATCAGCCCAGAGCCTGACGCGGGGCTCGAACTCACGGACCGCGAGATCGTGACCTGGCTGAAGTCGGACGCTTAACCGACTGCACCACCCAGGCGCCCCAGCTGTGGTACTTTTTAAAAATACAGATGCCTGGGTCTCACTCTTGGCCATTCTCATTCATAGGTCTTTGATGGGTCTGGTTGTCTATATATCTAGAAGATCTATAGGAGCTCCTAATGTGCACCAAATATTGAATCTCACTTGTCTTTTTCATTCAGTTGGTACCTAGCTGTGAACACTTGATGTTAGATTTTCAGCTCACTACTCATTTGTCAAATTGTTTGATTGGCCAGTGTTGGGAATTCAAATAAGAAACAGTGCTACCCTCAAGGCACTTTTATAGCAGGAGAGAAACAAGTAAATAGTAAGTGCAGTAATGTAGGAAGTACTGAGCAATGTGCTTTGAAGTGGATTGTTTTGTTTAATCTTCACCACGGTTTTAAGAGATAGATACTGTTACCTTTCTCTGATAGATGAGGGGATGGAGGCTTAGAGAAAGAAGTTAAGGTCACATAGTTAAAAAATTGCCAAGCTAGGATTTGAGCCGAGGCTATGGGACTCCAGAGACTGTGTAATCATAACCATTGCCATTGCCTTCCTGGAATTTCATACCATACACATACACAAAATCAAAATTGATCACAAAAGTAAAATCACACATAAAAATACTTAAAAAACATAATAAGGTGTTTTTTAAACCTGGGTGGCACAGTCGGTTGAGTGTCTGACTTTTTTAAATTTTTTAAATGTTTTTTATTATTTTTGAGAGAGAGAGAGAGACAGAGCATGAGCGGGGGAGGGGCAGAGAGAGAGGGAGACACAGGATCTGAAACAGGCTCCAGCACAGAGCCTGAGGTGGGGCTCAAACTCAGGAACCATGAGATCATGACCCGAGCCAAAGTCAGCACTTAACTGACTGAGCCACCCAGGTGCCGCCCCCCTCCCCCACATAAAAAAAAAAAAAAAAAATTTTTAATGTGAGCGTCTGACTCTTGGTTTTGGTCCAGGTCATATCTCATAGTACACAGGATTGAGCCCTGGGTCAGGCTCTGTGCTGACAGCTTGGAGCCTGGTTGGGGTTTCTCTCTTCTCCCTCTGCCCCTCCCCCCACTTGTACATGTGCACGTGCTCTCTGTCTCTCTCTCTCAAAATAAACACTTAAAAAAAACCTAAAAAACCCCCATAAGTTTCAAAAACCAAACACTTAAAAAACCAGCTATATTTTAACTCCATCTTTGAGGGATTTTTCTGTGTGGGCTGGACTGACTGAGGCATCTGAAAATAGGAGTCCAATTAAGTCTCCACTGTTTCCTGGCAAATTTCCCTGAAGTTTTCGTTGCTCAAAGGACTTTTGAAATGTTTTAAGAATCAGACATTCTTGAAAATGTCTGTTACCCGTTTGGTGTGCACGAATGCTTCTAGAACTCTTTTGAGTGCTTTATGCTAGGGGAATTTTCCATGGTGACTTAGGACTCTGAGGCATACACTGCTGCTAAGGGGTTGTAAAAGGCTGTGCTGGTTACTACTGTGATGGAAAGATCATTTCTAACAAGGAAGGCAGTAAAAATGAGAAGTTGTGAGTGTAGTCTTAGTAAGTTTGCTCTTGGCTGCCTATAGTTTGAATCCTCATAGCATCTCTATAAGGTATAATTTATGATGATCATTTTACAGAGGATGATAGTACATGTCTAAAAGGTTAAATAACTTTCTTGTAGTTATATGGCTAATCATTGTCAGAACCAGTATTGTCTAGCTCCAAAACTGTCTTGCTTCCATCTTACCGAGTGTGATAGAGGTAGTTGGACATTAGATTTAAGGCTCAGGTATAGTCCTGGCTAGCATAGTCGATTTAGATGGCATCAACATAGAAAGCATTGCAACCATGGGAGTGGTCAAGATCACCCAGGGAGATTGTGTAGAGTGAGGACTGATAAAAGTTGGGGGCAGATGCTCAGTTCTGGAGGACAGAGTTCATGTCCTTCACTTTTTGCAGAGTAGACTTGTTGCAGTGAACATTGGTTGTTTGTAATCTTAAATGTTGTATCTTGGGAACTCTGGCTTTGATGTTGCTTTGATGGCCTGATTCTGCATATTAGAGGTAGCTCCCATTTACTGACCTGGAGGTGTGTTTGTCTTTCCAGATTACCTAAAACCAGATCTATGGATGATCTGCTTTCTGCCTGTGACACAAGCAGCCCCCTGACTCGCACATCCAGTGACCCTAACCTGAATAACCACTGTCAGGAGGCCAGAGTAGGCCTGGAGCCCCGGCACAGCAATCCTGAGGGCTCAGAGACCTTTGTGGAATCTGTGGTAGGAGGTCCTCAGCAGACCGTAGGAGAAATGGGTCTTCCTTCCCCTCTGCCCAGCAGCCAGAAAGACTACTTGAGCAAGAAACCTTTCAAGAGTCAGAGAAGCTGTTCTCCAAGTTACAAACTGTTTAGTACTGCAGTGCCCCAGGAAATGAAGAGCAACATCTCTGATCCTGAGATCAAAGTCCTGGAAGAGACTGAAGCAGCAGCTCCAGACCCTCCTGCCCACAATGAGATGAATAGGACTTTAGATGGCACAGAGGAGCCACCTGAACATTGTCCTGAGAAAGAAGCTGTCAGCACACTCTCCGAAGTTGTTTCCAACAAATGGAATGGAGTTTGTGATTTTCCTGAGTCTTCCCAGGACTCCCTTTCAGGTGCCCCCCAACAGGCCCTGCTAGATTCCATGCTAGGTGTGCCCTCTGGATGTGCTGCAGATCACAGTCTGGGTACCCTTTGTGACCCACTGAGTGCTACCAGCCAAACTCCTTCGGAGCCAAGCACTGACTTCCTCAGCCAAGATCCCCCAGGGTCTGTGGCAAGGAGTTCCCACCAGGAACAGCCCAGTTCTGTGCCAGATCTGATTCATAGGGAGGAATACGCTGGCAAAAGAGGGAATAATAGGAATGGGCAGTTATTGGAAAATCCTCGCTTTGGGAAAGTGCCATTGGAATGGGCCCGAAAGCCAATTTCTCAGAGCCAGATCAGTGAGTTTTCCTTTTTAGGATCCAACTGGGATAGCTTCCAAGGGATGGTGACTTCATTCCCAAGTGGGGAGACCACCCCTCGGCGGCTGCTTTCCTATGGCTGTTGCAGCAAAAGGTCAAGCAACAAGCAGGTGCGGGCAATAGGGCCCTGCTTTGGGGGCCAGTGGGCTCAGAGAGAAGGGGTGAAATCACCGGTCTGTTCTAGTCATTCCAATGGACACTGTACTGGTCCAGGGGGAAAAAACAACCGGATGTGGTTGTCCGGTCACCCAAAGCAGGTCTCCAGCACAAAGCCTGTTCCACTGAGCTGCCCTTCTCCAGTGCCTCCTCTCTACCTGGATGATGATGGACTGCCCTTTCCCACGGATGTGATTCAGCATAGATTACGGCAAATCGAAGCAGGGTACAAGCAAGAGGTAGAGCAGCTACGCCGACAGGTGCGTGAGCTTCAGATGAGGTTGGATATCCGTCACTGCTGTGCCCCTCCAGCAGAGCCCCCCATGGACTATGAGGATGATTTTGTAAGTATTCACCACTGCTATCCATCCATTCATTCATTCTTTCCATCCAGCCTTCCATGCATTCAACATTTATTCATTGGGTACTTGCTATGTGCCACTGTGTTAGGTGGCTGGTTTGTAGGATGAAGGACATAGTCCCTGCTCTCAAGGAGCTCACAGTCTATAGGAGAGAGAAGCAGACAACTAGAATGATTTTTTTAAATGTTATCCTGGAAGGAAGCATCAGGTGTTGGGGGCTCAGGCTTTCCTGAGAAGATAATACTTGAGGTGAGTGCTGAAGAACTTGTCATATTTGGCTAGGTGGACCATGAAAAGGAAATACCATTCTCAAAAGCATGGAGGCAGTAAGTATTCTGATGGGATGACTTGAACAAAGGGATGGGGGTATGTGTGTGTGTGCACGTGTGCATGTGTGAGACATGCATGTACAGGTGTGCTGGGGCCATGGAGGAGGGAGTTGGGTAGTAAGGTGGGAGCTGATATTGGAGAAGTAGACAGGGATTGGAAAGGTCAGCTCGAGATCCCTTCTTGTGTGGATTCTACCCTCAAGGCAGCATGATTTTGGCCACTGAGAATCATGATCAGATCTGTATTTTTTTTTTCAATGTTTATTTTTGAGAGAGAGAGAGTGTGTGTGTGAGCAGGGGAGGGGCAGAGAGAGAGGGAGACAGAGGATCCGAAGTGGGCTCTGTGCTGACAGGAGACAGCCTGACATGGGGCTCAAACTCACAAACCGTGAGATCATGACCTGAACTGAAGACGGACACTTAACTGAGCCACCCAAGTACCCCAGATTTGTATTTTTTAAAATATTTTTTAAAGCTTATTTATTTATTTTGAGAGAGTACCCACGTGGGGGAGGGACAGAGAGAGAGAGAATCTGAAGCAGGGTCTCCATGCTGTCAGTGCAGACCCTGATGCAGGACTCAAACTCATGAACTGTGAAATCCTGACCTGAGCCAAAAACCAAGACTTGGATGCTCAACTGACTGAGCTACCCAGGCACCCCATCAGATTTGTATTTTAAGAATACTACTCTAGCAATGGTGTGTCAAGTGGATGAGGCACTTGAAATGCAGGTTGGGAGGCTGGTTAAGATGTTTTGGAATAATCCAGGGGTGCCTGGGTGGCTCAGCTTGTTAAGCTTCCCACTTCAGCTCAGGTCATGATCTCACGGTTCGTGGCTTCAAGCCCAATGTCGGGTTCCGTGCTGACAACTCAAACCTGAGCCTGCTTCAGATCCTGTGTCTCTTGTCTGTCTCTGCCCCTCCCCCATTCACGCTCTGTCTCTGTCTCTCTCAAAAATAAACATTTAAAAAAAAAAAAGATGTTTTGGAATAATCAAAGTGAGAGATGATGAAGACTATCTAAGCTTTGCTGTGTTGGGAGCCTTCAGATTTGGGTCCACAATTCTTAAGAAGCTTCTAGGAGTCAGTTTCTTGGCCACAGTATCATGTCATCAACACGGACACTTCCCTTCCTTCTGTTAACACATTCCCACTTGCCTGCTGCCCACTTACTGGGATGGGATGGTCAGGGCTAACAACTTCCTAATATTCGGAGTGTTGGTTTAGAACAGGAGTCAGCAAACTTTCTGGTAAAGGGCCATATTAAATACTTTAGACTTTGTGGACATATAGTCTCTGTCCCAGCTGCTTGTCTCTGCTGTCACAGCACACAAACAGCCATAGACAATACGTATAAAAATGAGTGTAGCTGTCTTCCAGTAAAACTTGATTTACAAAAACAGGCAGTGGGCTAGATTTGGCCTGTGGGCCATAGTTTGTGAATCTCTGGTTTAGAACGTAATGAGAAATATGTCCGTGCTGTGATAAAGCATATTGGTTAAGAGCATAGGTCTGAATCCAAAATACATTTGACCCTTGAACAATGCAGGGGTTAGGGTGCTGAACCCTCATGTAGTCAAAAATCCACATACAACTTTTGAGTTCCCCAAAACTTAACTAGTAATAGCCTAAGAAGCCTGATAATACAGTAATTAACATATATTTTGTATGTTAGATTTATTGTATGCTGTGTTCTTACAATAAAGTAAGCTGGAGAAAAGAAAACGTTACTAAGAAAATCATAAGGAAGAGAAAATAATACATTCATAGGACTATACTATATTTATTGAAAAATCTCTGCATACAAGTGGACCTGTGCAATTCAAACCTGTGTTGTTCAAGGGTCAACTGTACAATGTTGAATATTCAGGTTTACTACTTACTACCTTTTAATTTTCTCAGTGCTTAATTTCCTTATTTGTAAAATAAGGATGATGATAATAATATACATCATACGATTCTTGGGAGGAATTAAAGAAGTTCATGCATCTAATATTCTTAGAATAGTACCTAATGCATAGGAAACAGTACATGTTAGTGATGGTGAAGATGGTGTTGATGTCTTTGCCTTTCTTCAGACATGTTTGAAGGAGTCCGATGGCAGTGATATAGAAGATTTTGGCTCTGATCACAGTGAAGACTGCCTTTCAGAAGCAAGCTGGGAACCTGTTGATAAGAAAGAGACTGAGGTATGTCCAGGCAAATACATGCTTTTGTGAAGCACTGAATTCTCATATTTCTCAGAGATGAGTGACATGCTATAAACTGAACCTTCTCTTGGGCGAGTGTCTTCTTTTTAGGCAAGTAGAGGCCAACTATAAAGACAGACCTCATCATTTTCTCCTGGAATGCTTTCCTTGTTGCAACGTTGCTCTTCTACTTTGTTGACAAGGACCTGGAATTTTTCCTTGTGCCTTCTGTTAGGTGACTCGCTGGGTTCCAGACCATATGGCATCACATTGCTATAACTGTGACTGTGAGTTCTGGTTGGCCAAACGAAGACACCATTGCCGGTAAGATGTTTTATATGATTCTGTAAGGCTCAAAAAGGAGTGATTGATGTATGTGTATCTGAGCTAAATAGAGTTAATCTGAAAATACAGATATCTTTATAGGGACTACTTTTGTTTTCTGCCAACTTTTCTCTTTATTTACTCATGTAAGGCCTTTTAGAGTATCCTTCATGGTTTGTTTTTGTTTTTTTGTTTTTTTTTTTTAGTGTTTATTTTGAAAGAGCAAGAGAGAGCATATGCAAGCAGGGGAGGGACAGAGGGAGAGGAGAGAGAATCCCAAACAGGCTCTGCACTGTCAGCACAGAACCTGATGTGGGGCTTGAACTCATGAACCATGAGATCATGACCCGAGCTGAAACCAAGAGTTGGATGTTTAACTGACTGAGCCACTCAGGGGCCGTGAGGATCATTCATTTCTGATGAGCTCTTCCCTCTTTGTTCTTTGGCAGAAATTGTGGGAATGTATTTTGTGCTGGCTGCTGCCACCTGAAGCTGCCCATTCCTGATCAACAGCTCTATGACCCAGTTCTCGTCTGTAACTCCTGTTATGAACACATCCAAGTATCTCGTGCCAGGGAACTCATGAGCCAACATCTGAAGAAACCCATTGCTACAGCTTCCAGCTGAATGCCAGAGGAGATGACCTGTCCAATTTTAGCAGGTTTGAAGGGAGGATCTGCTTCAGGTGTAGTTTTGAAGGTTCCTTGGTGTGGCTCATGAAATAACAGAGCTCAAAGATACCGTCTTGAGAAATCCTCCATGGTACCATGAGACTGGAGCAGAGGAATTCCAATTTGGCAGGAGGTCTTCTATTGGTGAGACCCTCACCTTGGGGTAATGGTCCTGATCCAGACCCAGAGTCTGGAAGCTTAATGTTGAGCTGGTGACTCCAGCTTTTGTCCTAGGGGCCACAAGATGATGATTTCATAGATACCGCCTGGTGATACATGCCCCAAACAGCAATAGAAAGGCATAAGTATAACCAAACTCCAAGTGATAAACAGATCCATCTCTCCTCCACCTTGAAAAAAGCAGATTTTAGTATACAAGATAGGAATTCCTATCCTATTTGAAATGAACTATATCCTGTTCCTCTGTGCTCTGTGTCTGTGCATGAAGGCTCAGTCTTTAGAGGCACTCCCTCTAGTTGCAGTAGTTCTGTCTCTCTGTGGAGTTTGGTTTAAAGACTGGTTCAGCAAGTGGAGGTTTTGTTGTATTTTTCACTTGGCTTATCGGCCAACATCAGTGAATATTCAGTTTAGAGGGACAGTTCTAAGGAGTCAGACATTCTTGGGAGCAGAGGAAAGCTCTGCTGATGTTCAGTCCTGGCAAAAATCAGTTATTTTGAGCTGCGAAGGCAGTCGTCTCTGTTACTCAGTGGCAGCTCTTGAGGTATGCACTGTGAAGAATGAGAAGGGAAAAGCAGAAATGATCCTTGTCAAATATTTGCTGATCGTGCCCTGCCCTTTGCGCCTGACTTTTCCTAGTTGTCCTGGTGCTAACACAGGAGTTACACCTTGATCCTCTCCTGGCATGAAAACGAAACAATGGATTTTTGTTGTTGTTCCATTGCCCACTTCCCTCATGTTGTCTTTCCCTTGGCTGCTGCCTCCTCTGGGTCACACTGCTTCTTATCCTGAACACTTGACACCTTGAGGGTAGAATTTAGCATTTGGTTTTTACCTCCTAGAATATGCTGTTTGGTATGTGAGGGTTTCAGTACAAATGCTGCTGTCTATTTCTGTGCACTTAACAATGGAACCCAAACAGAAGAGAATAAAGCCTTGATACCAAAATTGGGAGAGAAAATGTGTCCATTTGGACCAAACATTGTTTTTTTTTTTGTTGTTGTTGTTGTTGTTTTGTTTCATCTTAATATGTACCAGTGGCACTTAACCAAAAGATACAGTGATATAGCCATGTACTGTGGTTGGGACAGATATAGTCTCCTTGATCTATAATGAAACCACTAGTATTCCTTTATACATTTTCCTTAATCCATTGGTGTATAAAAGGTGAATTACACTTAGGCTTATCCTGTTTTAAAACTATGGTAGCTGTCTGTCTAACTGCTACTTTCATGTTACTTCCTAGAAAAAAATTTTTCATTTGAAAATAACTAGGATCTGCATTTAGAACAAGAATTGTTATTTGTCCTGACCTTTTCTTTAGTCCTACAGAGAAGCATCTGTGCTTTTATACTTGTCATGGATGTAACCTAAAAAGTTTTGGCGTATTTAGGTCAGCCTAGCAGAACTTTTTTTTTTTTTTTTTTTCATTTAAATGGAGTTGAATAATGGAGATTTGTGTCTGGGAAATTCCTGAGATCATTGAAAAAGTAACAAACTATTCCTTGTCTCTGATACGTGAAATTCTAAGCATTTTCTCAATCATTAAAATTTACTGCCAGTTGCAAGTGGCTTTTTAATTAACTTTCATTGCACTTCACTCTGCCCATTTTCAGGGGGAGTAAGATTGGTGGTAACATTTGAGGAGACTGTATCTGTCTACTTCGTGTGGCTGTTTTGAGGGACTGTCCCATCAGTGAACATACTGCATGGCCTTGGAGAGAGACTCTGGGCTCTCAGCTCAGATGTATTCATCAAATACTCCTTTCAGAGCTCTTGTGGGTGTAAGTGACATGATGTGGCCAAAAATCCAAACTGTGCAGTTGCGTTGTGACAAACATGCAATGTGCTGTAAAAACTCAATACAATTTAAATAAAATCTCTATATTAGTGCTGCTTTGTTGGGTCTTTTTATTCATTTTAATTTCTAAGTAAACTTAATACTCATTTTTTCTTTGACCATGAGAAAGGACTAAAACATTATACTCCTTCCTCCCAACCATTTCCATTTTTAAAGTTTTTAAAATTTATTTATTTATTTTGAAAGTGAGGAGGGGGAAGGGCAGAGAGAGAGAGAGAGGGAGGGAGAGAATTCCCAGCAGGCTCCACGCTGTTGGTGCAGAGCTGGAAGGTGGGGGGGGAGGGGGGAGGGAGATGAGTGCTGGATTTCATGAAACATGAGATCATGACCTGAGCAGAAATCAACAGATAGAGGCTTAACCCACTGAGCCACACAGGTGTCCCAATTTCCATTTTTAAATGGACCTTTCTTTTCTTTTTTTATAATTTTTCTTCAATGTTTATTTACTTTTGAGAGAAAGAGATTGCAAGCTGGGGAGGGGCAGAGAGAGAGAAAGAGAGGGAGAGAGAGAGAGAGGCAGAGGATCCTGAGAAGCAGGCTCCACATTGTCAGCGCAGAGCCCACTGCTGGGCTCCAGCTCACAAAGTGTTGAGTGAGATCATGACCTGAACCAAAATCAGAAGCTTAACTTACTGAGTCACCCAGGTGCTCCAAATGGACCTTTCTATCAGCATAGCTCTCACCATATTCTTATCTATTGATAGAAAGGGATTTATCATTATGGCTACCGTAGAATTCTACCCCATCTCATGTCAGGTTTCTCTTCAGTGTCTAAAATAGCATCAGCTGGTTGACCAGGTACAGAGGATTGTAATTATATTCTGATTCCCTCCTCATTGCCACCTCAGTTCTCATCCCACCTTGAATAAACCTGTCCTGAGCAAAATATTGACGTAAAAGAGTATATCTAATGCTACTCTTTAAAAGATCACTTTGTTTACTCAGGATACCATACCCCCATCACCATTCTTATTTTGGGAAGACAAGCAATTAAACTGTTCGTTTATACTTAGTTTATGGCTACTCAGATTATAGAGTTAGACCCTTTGTTCTCAAGAATGGCTGACTTTGAATTGGCAAGTGCACAGTTTCCGAATTCTAAAACCTCACACGCTGGTTGCGGTGATCAGCATGAATCTTGGTATTCCACCATGGATAATCAGGTTTATTTATTTTCAGGACTTAATAGTACCTGGTGGGCTGCAACACCACGGAGTCTGGCGGTTTGGGGACGTCGCCGAGGAAACGTGCCTTGCTGCCGCCGCGCCCCACGCTGCTGCAAGGGTCCGACGACGCGGAGTCCAGGGGGAGGGTTGGCTCGCGCCACGTCCGGCCGCGCGGTGGGAACTCGAGGCCCCATTGGCCGCGTTGGAAGGCGCGGCAGAGGCTCGTGCGCCAACGGTCCCGGGGTACGCGGCGGGCCTGGCGCAGGCAGGAGGGGGCAGGGCGCAGCGAAGGCCGGGCAAGGGGGAGGGGATCGAGAACGGGGTGGAAGAGCCAGGCTCTGCGGGGCGAGGCCCAGTGCCCGGGCGGGGGCGATGGAGGAGGCGCTGCTCTCCACCCCCATCAACCCCAACAACTTCCCCGCCAAGCTGTGGCGGTTGGTGAACAGTCCCCGGTACCGCTCGATCCGCTGGGACGGCCGTGGCGAGGGGCTGCTCATCGACCAGCCGCTCTTCGAGGCCGAGCTGCTCAGCCCGCCCGGGGCGG